CAAATATTGTACAAGAACAAAAATACGAGCGAATAAAAAAAATCTGATATGAAGAAGAGAGATTATGTCCCGCTTTGAAACCAAAAGTCACCGTTTTCATCGGATGATAGAGTGCTTTTTTCAATTGATTTGCCAAGATTAACGAGTACTCTCCATAATAAGGCATAGAGAAATAATACTGTTTTAAGTTCTGAACAGGCTTTTGTACAGTCTTGTTCAATCGAATCCCTCGTATTGTCTTCTTTAGTATATTCAATGGATAGCCATTCATATGAAAATAATTCTTTTTAGAGCAAAAATAAACAATTTTATTAGTCTTGTCAACGGACCCCGATTTTAGCTCCGAAAAATCCTTCTTTTTAGTTCCGACTCCGAAAAATATTTTTTTGCGATTCCGCTTCTAGCTCCGACGCCGAAAATTTTCAAATTGTCGATTCCGATTCCGACTCCGACTCTGGAGTCGGAGTTGGAATCGGGTTTCGGAGGGTAGTGCAGTTCTCTATCGCAGTCTCTCGATAAAACGCAGTAGGCAAAACTATCGCGGTATACAAGTCATTTAGCGTTGTAAATACCAGTATGTCAATAAATCGCGATTAATATTTATCGGACTTTATCCTGATAAAAGTACTATCGTTGTATGTGTTTATCTCCAAAAGCAAAAGTATCGCGATAAACTTCAATAGATTTTTATCGAGTATTATCGTGATAAAAGGGTCATCTCGACAAGAAGCTAAAAGTATCGCGATTAAATTTTTATCCCTATGAATGAGGAGATTAATTTTCCCGTGTTTTGTCTCGATATGAAAGAACATAGCAATAACTACTATCGGAATTTTTAAAGAAAGTGCGTGGAAGAAAAGCTTATAACTTTTGAACGGAAAGGCATAGCAACCTGCGGTTTTCAGGGTTCAATAGACGACAGTCGGGGGCACATGCCAACGTGGAAAAGTGATCTTCCTAGGTACTTTTTCAGACCAGATTTAGCCTATGAAACAGAATAACATATATTTCTAAAGAAATAACTTAAACAACTTTCACACACATATATATCTTGTTTTTCATTCTCGCGTGGCATATCTGTTAGTCTACATGAAATTTCTTCCTTAAAAGGTCTCGGGACCTTCAAGGAAGCGAAATCTAGAAATTGCTTAGATACCAATGTGAAGAGGGCATGTCGGGGTGCAAACCCTGCAAAAAAATTCCCTCTAAAAAGTTCGCTAATTTGTCCTTAATTTCGTAGGCTTGTGCCACTTTTCCACGTTGGCATGTGCCCCCGACTGTCGTCTATTGAACCCTGAAAATCGCAGGGTGCTATGGCTTTCCGTTCAAAAGTTATAAGCTTTTCCTCCACGCGCTTTCTTTAAAAATTCCGATAGTAGTAAGATTACCGAAGATAACTGATTCATCTCGATAATTTCCGAGGAAAATTATCGTGGTTTTTAAAAACCACGTCAAAAATATCACGATTGAGCTTCTAGTTATAGTATTATGTGGTTTTTTCAAGGGTCATGGGTATATTGTGTTTCGGTATGTTTCCGCTTTGCCAGAGATTCTCTTTCCGTCTTTTTGAACAAGAAAATTTCTGTTGCAGTTTGAATTGGTAGTATACTCCATTTCTCTTCGAATTTGTTTTCTCGCGTCCGACTAATGCAACACTTTGATCGATGTGGTAATTATTATGAACGTCCAATCATAGCATCATAATGATTTTCACCTATCTTAGTGCCTTGAACACTCTGTTAGTCGTTTTTCTGCCATAAAGAAAAAGTTTGTATTGTTCAAAAACATACCATTGGATAGCCCTTGAAATTCTCTACAAAGTACGCTGGTCACAATATCCAGAAAGGTGGGGCCAGTCATTAAAGATATGGAAAAGAAGCTTTTAGGTGTTATCTAAGCAGTACAGTGTGTCATAATCACAAGAACTCCCTTGTTTTTGACTTTTTAGTAAAAGCTGGAACCAATCTGAATAATGTTTTGAATAGCCCGAAGATTTTTCTATCAGAGATGCACATCGCCCTTTCATGAGAAAAGTTGATAATAGAGCTTCTGGCAAACCTGACCGCTGGAAAACCAAGTCCTTAGATTTTGATCCCAAATTTTGCAAACCATATGGCCTGATAGAGCGAAGAATTCTAAACAAAATAAGACATCTCGTGGCATTCTATAGTCCTCTTTCACGTAACTGCAGTCGATTTACCATTAGCTGCAAAGGGCGTGAAAGACACCGAAATATTCCGGTGAAAAAGCACTGCAGAATGCTGGCAGATGTCTTATTTGGTTCAGAATTCTTGGCTCTATCAGGCCATATGGTTTGCAAAATTTTCGGACCAAAATCAAAGGACGGCCGTTCTTATAAGAATAGCCGTTGATTGCCGTCGACGGCAACCCAGACGGCGCTTAATGTTATTCATGTTTTTAACATGAAATTTATCGCGATAAATGATATTTTTATCTACCCGTCACCGATTTTTCTACTATTTCTCGAAAGGAAATATTCAGCGCGATAAATCATAGCAAATTATAATATGATATATTTATCGACAGGTATCGCGATAAAAGAGATTTCTGCGATGAAAAAGTTCTTTATCGCGATGAATTTTTCCTTTAGATAAATACTAGAAAAATCGGTGACGGGTGGATAAAAATATGATTTATCGCGATAAATTTATCGAAAATGCCCTCATGGGTATGAATCGACGGTCAGCAAAGTATCCCTTGATTCAAATCACTTTTCGCGTTTTGGCGCGAATAGTGGCGCCACTTAAAACGCGCTACTATTCGCGCCAAAACGCGAAAAGTGATTTGAATCAAGGGATACTTTGCTGACCGTCGATTCATATAATAAGCTCTTTAGAAAAAAAAGTTGAACCGATTCTGTTCTCCGTATAAAAAGTCGATTTTGCGCTAATGGTGTCATTAATTGGCAGAAAAATGTTTTTCTAGCCATAAATTTAGACTGAATATCAAAAATTGGGCTCTATTAGCCTCTAGCCGCGTGTGTAATCTGCATTTTAAGACGAATCCGAGTTATTTACGTCGCTCTGTTACGGAGAAATCCTGCAGCTATGAAGTCGTCTGAACGCTAAGTTCGCATTATTTGATATAAAGTGGCGCTAGTATCCGATGTATAATTTAAGGCTTCGATTTAATATTCTTTTAATTTTTTGCTGGAACATTATCTAGAGTTGGGATATGTCTCTTTTTGATCAGAAATGTTCTCTCTAAAACCTAGTTCTTTTACAGCTACTTGTTCTATCAATTTTGTATTGAAAACACAAATAATGGAAAAGTCAGTTTTTCAGCGCTTCCGGAAAACTACAGGAAAAATTTGCAGAAACCTTCAATGAAGGTTTGACTGTCATGGCTTCAGATCTTGGGCTATCTAATAGTTTGCTTAGCTCAATATTAACTTTTTACAAAAACTTAGTATTTCTGAGAGGGGACACCTTTACAAATGAATAATTCAATTGAAATATACCGTCTGGTAAGTGCAGCGTTGTCATAACTTTACACAGCTTGAAGTTCTGGTATGTTCAAATAAGGTACAGAATACCAAATGATATTAACAGAAATGTGTTAGTTTTAAATGATTATAATTTAACTAAATATTCGTTGAAACTGATGTAAGTTGAAACGGAATTGATTTGACTTTTGTTGGTTGAATATGTTGATGATGGATGTCAATTTGTGGTGATCTTATGGATTGTATTGAATGCATTCTTTTAGTATTTGTTCGATGGTATTCAAAAGATACTTGCCTATGCGGTGAGTCTAAGTACTTCAGTTGTTGTTGCTGATGCGTAGAATCAACATCCTCTGCGCTGACACCAGAATATTTCTTGCCAATAAACCATAAAAACGGTGTTATGATAATAATAGAAGCTGCTGTAATCACGAAGGGAACTGCCGCAGTACGAATGGTACCAATATCTAGTATATATTTTTTGACAATAACAGCCTCATTTGTTCGACAAATATACTCGCCTTTGTCATTATTGTTCAGATGCTTTACTGTCAAATGGCTCCTATTGTGAATTATTGATAAAGAATATTTGTCGGAATAATTGTTTTTTGATATCATTTGATTATTGGGTGCAGTCCATATCACGTCGGCATTCGCACATTTAGCTATCCAACGTGTTTTTTCTCCACGCGTAACATATTCAACCGTATTAGATTTCTTGGAGGCGTAGGTTAAATGCGTGTTGATTAATAATAAGAGAAGAGCAAATTTAGTTTCATCACAAATCATTTGTGGTGATTTTGGGAATATTACGCGCCAATTTCATATTTAAACAACGTTGAGTGTTGCTGTCATCTATAATTTAATTAGTTATGCCTCATACAGAATCACTAAATTCGATATTAAGGTACCATTATTTTAAAATGCCGCGAACATTTTTCCAGAGTCTATGAAATACAGTGTTAACCATACTCTAACTTTTATCCTTACGGTTTGATCAAACGTAACGGACCATTACATTTTGACAACTTCTGCGACTATTTCTCCAAAACTACTAAACAGGTGAAGCTCAAAAATTTATTACGAATGTAACTTGGGCCGATGTATTTCATCCGATATAAATTTTGAACTTGATAGGTTAAATGGATCAAAAGTTGTAGAGAAAAGTAGATGTCGTAACGGAACTACAAAAACCAGAACTTTTTCTTTGATCTTATAATTGTTTCGAATGCTCTGAAGTTATACGTCAATACTAGGGGTGGCACACTTTCTTTACTGATGCGTTACTTTACTGAGTAAAGCAACGCTTTCAAATATCACCGTATGAGTGACGAACAACCGAAAATGTATTGTTTTATCACCTTGCGGACACAATGAGACTAAAGCGTTACTATATTATGTGTTACTGGTAACGAGTAACGCATGTGTTGTTGCGTTACTGGTAACGAGTAACGCATGCGTTATTGCGTTACTCGTTACAAAAGCTATGAAAAATAAACGCATCTCGTTAGTAGTTACTGGTAACGAGTAACGCATGCGTTACTGCGTTACCTGTAAAGAAACGTTAAAGCGCCACCCCTAGTCAATACTAGCACTTCTTTATATAAAAATGAAGCCTGAATTTCAGACTTTCAGAATATGTATTTGGTTTTGTTCCAACATGCTCTGGTCTAATAAGAAAGCAAATGAGCTTCGTAACGGAGCTTTTTTAGGGTTTTCGTTGGGAAAGGTATAGTCTTTCGCAACGAAGTTGTAACTTAAGGTTTTGGTCTTTCATAACCGAGTAGTACCATCGGAATATTACTAGAAACAATGAAAATTTTGGCTATTATCTTACTACAGATGTCTTACGGTGATCATTGGTGAAAAACAGGTAAATTTTGTAACTCAAGTTGCTTTTTTTGCAAACTTTTTCTACTAAAAAGCAGTCTAACCTACTCATAAATTTCTTCTCTTTCTTTCTGTACACTTTTCCCTGTGCTTTAGAAACGAAAAAGATTTGAAGTTTTGATTTTACTGAAAGAAGAATATTTTTTATCAGTAAACTCAATTTATCCACCCTTTATCAGTGTCTAAAATGTTTTTTTAAGGTAATATTCACAATCAGTGACAAAAACTGCATCTGATGATGTGTGTTTCAGTTAAGTTGGATAAAGATCATTTTTTGAACCTTCTCCATTCAAGGGTTATTGTTAGCTGGTCGAGTCACTTATGCTCTTTTGTTGCAACTACAGTTACCCGTTTAACTCTCGGTTTTGACGTGTAAAGTTGTTTTCCAGTATCTAAGATATATTCTTTGTGAAAATACGAAAAATGAATGGAGATCGACGTTTTTGTGAGAATCATCGATTTCTTTGATTATTGTTAGAGAAGTCATTTTGTTTTTGTATTAGAGTGTTTTATACACTTTTATCTCTACTGCTCATGTTTACCTAATAAAGTTATTTTAAAAGACCATGAATCTTTTTCTTCTTTCTACTGGTGAGTACACTGTTATCTTTTCTCTTTTATTATTCATTATTCCCGTCATTATCAACATATTGTCTTGATTAATCCATGGATGTTCGAACATCAAGAAGTACGATGACTATGAAATTGCAACAGGCGGTCTCGTTTCCACAGAGAAACATTTTTTTATTTGTATCTATCTAGGAATGATAAAGTAACAAAAATTCAGTTACTCACTAATGTTCTTCTGTGCTAATCTCTGAGACTTTTTTGATTTTCAAAGAGCTATCTATATGTACTGAAGAAGCAGAAACGTCGCAAGTGTTTAATTTTCGATATACGGCAGCACTATGAAACTTTATTGTAAATCTTCAAACAAAACATGTCAGTATAGTGTAAAAAAAAGCTCAGTATCCTTACTATACTATATTATACATGTTACAATAATCATTTTTCTTCCTATGCTATCACATTAGAACAAACTGAAGATGAATAATATTGTTGATAACATTAATTTAATATTGCGGTACGATGAAAGAACAATTAGAAACGACAAATTCTATACATATGTTTCTGGTGATGTTTGTATCATTGTTTGTAATAAATTTCTATCTATTTTGCACATAATTAACGTGAAAACAAAGAACGACAGAAATGTTATCAGAAAGCAATTACATTGTATAAATGAAGATGAATTTATGTGATGGTGTGAAAAAATTAGCGATAGTTAATTTCTAACAAGTTACGATCAAAAATACTTTTACGTACACGCTTCTTACAACTTGCTTTACAAAAAAAAGGGTATTTAAGTTGCGTTTGGCAAAATTAAAGTAAACATGTTTTGTAACCTGTAGAAAATTCTATACTGGTGGACATCAGGTAAATCTCGGCAAGTGGATGTAAGTAAGGCTAGAATATTCTAGATGGTAAAGCTACCCTACAGCCAGTTTCACTATCTGAATCATCGAACGAGGCCTTATTTAATACAATTTAGTTCACAGTTTACGAATCCGATATTGGTTTTAAAAATTATTTAAATTCAATTAAAGGACTAAGCGTTTTGTATTCAGTGCCCATTTGGTAAACAATAATGTGATACTACTTCCCTCTTCCTTTAATCCGTCACTGCTTCTGAAAGTGTTCCAGTATTTTCATCTGGTTTGCACACCCATGTATCCTCTCGCCAAGTAAAGTAATCTCTTCTGTTCGCCAATTTTTTCTTCATCAACATATAATAAGAAGAATCATCAAAGATGTCACGAAGCGCCAAAAGTTGAAGAAGGGGAGGATGAGAGTAGAAATAACAGCTGAGTGCGGAGTAAGCATTGAAACGGTCATGGCTACCAGGCATAACACACGCTGTCGAAAAGCGGTAAAAAAAGATCTTACGAAAAGTGGTCAAAGAGAAAATAAAAATTCTGACCGAGAGTCAAAATCCACGGAAAGAGACTGATCCTACTCCCTGTCGTCTCTGGAAATCTGTCGGATATTGACATAGTTTTCCCAAATCATCACTGTATGTTCTACTACACATGGAGTCTAAGTGAATTCAGAGAAAAACTCATCAATCAGTAACCGTAGGTCTTGAAGACGAAAACTAAATATTTATTAGTTTTTGTGTATGCAGAATAAAGTGGGATATTTTTCAACCAAAAGTAATTTTTAACATGTTACGTTCTATGCAGAAAATCGGTTCTATGCGTTTCTCCCACTCTATAAGTAACTTATGTTAATGGTTAAATAGTTTATATACAAATCGTTTTGAAATGTTAATTTACACTCACTCCTCCCTTACAAAATGAATGTTTATCAACTTGAAAAACATTCAACTTGTACTATAGTAAAATAGTTCGAAAATGTGTTATATTTAAGCAACAGAAGAAATATCTTTTCGCAGGCAGAATCTTAAACGCCGTAATGTAGATTATCAGTTAGCCAGAAGAAGACTTTCTAATATCTTATACATTGAATCTTACAAACATTTATAAAAACCGTGTTTTTTCAATCTTTTTACTGGTTAGTCTAAATCTAACGTTACAGAATGTGCAACCAATGAAATTTTTGTTCGCTTTTTGGATATTATCTGCTGAGTGTGCACTACATAAAAGACACTAAATACTTTGTTTTTTTGTCATTCTGTTCTTGTACATAGATAACAGCCATCCAATGCCATGTTTAGAGATAGAAAAGAAAAATAAGAAACGATGATTGACCAATCGCACAGTTTTGTGTATTGAAATGAAAAAAAATAAAGAAAATGGAATTTTATTTCATCACAAATTAGATCCATGTGCACTCGTTTCTTAACAAAATCTCAATGTACTGCTAACAAAAAATTTGCTCAATATCTGAAGCATAGTTGTTAAATCTGTGCTGATATATATATACATTAACGAAGGCAAGTGCATGTTTTAACTTCTGCTGATAGTGTCTGTGAAAGAGAGAGAGAGAAAGAGAGAAAAATATGACTTTTTTTCTCTGCTATATCTGATGAAACTCATAACTTCTCGAAGGCGTTTACATCATGTAATCAATATCATACGCATAAATATATCTGTACAAATGCTAACATACATACACGCACAGATACTTGCATTTGGTATTAATTACTGAAAGTATACGTGTCTCTAGCGGTGTGTGGTGATGATAAATATAGACTATACTGATAATGGTGGTAAGAGAAAATAAATGATGAGAGAGATGAATAAATAAAATGACATGTGACCTAATTTTTTGTCTTTTTCAAAAAATAACAACTAATGCAGTCAACAACAATCTTTTTAATCGTTGCTTGATGAACGTGTAGTAGACAAATTGAAATGACTTATTATTCATAATTTTCTGTTAAACTGAAAGATGGTTTGACTTACAGAGCGTAGTCTTAAGAAACTTTGACATCTTAGGAACAATCTCAAAGCAGGACGATCTAAGTAGAGTTTAGTCGTAGCACCATCAAACTTTATCGTATAATTTGTATTTCTAAAATTGACTACTGTATCTGTAATAGAAAGCCAATTGTATTCTTACCAATTGCTCGTTGAAAGAACATGCAATGCTGATATTGTATTGAACATATGTCTCTGATCTTTGCTTGTTTAAATCAGTTATGTTGTAAGTGACGTTTCGATGATCTTTCTATCATATATGTTTATGTGTAGGAATTTTTCATTTTCAAGAATTCCTTTTTTTTAGTTCCATCCACTCATTTCCGAATTTTTCATGGTATATTGAAAGACTAATTTATTTATGAATTACAATTCTATCGTTTTACACAGTAATTCAAAATGTTCGACATTTTTAAGTAACTTTGTTAAAACAGAATATTCAGATACATCATCAATTTATTCAAATATTCAACATAGTCTTGGTGTAATGAGTAGTGGTGGCAGTGCAGGTGGCGATGATTCGTCTGGTTTATCGTCACCCGATACACCGATGACAATCGATGAAAATTACAATGATACTTTAACAATTTCTACCGATTCATATCCAACAAATACTAATAATCAACATTTTCGTCGTCGAGGCCGTAATGGTGCAAGATATTCAAGACGTTCGGAAAATGCTCCATATCCACGTCATTCAAAACGTCGACAACAATCAATGTCTGTCGATGATGTACAAAATCAACGTGCTATAGCAAATGTTCGAGAACGACAACGTACACAATCGTTAAATGAAGCATTTGCTCAATTAAGACAAATTATTCCCACTCTACCATCGGATAAATTATCAAAAATTCAAACATTAAAATTAGCCACACGTTATATTGACTTTCTTTATCAAATATTACGTACTGATGATCCAAAACTAAATTCATCCACTCCATTATTATCAACTACTACTACCACAACAGCGTCTCCATCACCACCAAATAGTGGTGGAGGAGGAGGACAAGGATACGGAACGTTAAGCTATGCATTTTCTGTTTGGCGAATGGAAGGTTAGTTTCTTATTCTCTTTCGAAGAGATTTTTCTGAAACTGATAAAATAACAATTTATTTTAAAGGTGCCTTTCAAGGATACAGTGGAACTACAAACGGAGGTAATCCATTTTCTCCGTCAGAGTATCAAGGTAATTAGGATACTATTGCTGTTTTTTTGGTCCTCTTTTTTTTCTGGCTGATAACGGTGATTTTAATTTTCAATAACTTTTTTGCTTTGATTTCACTGTATTTGCACCATGTATTGAATGTTAATTGTGTTTGTTATTCATTTCTTAACAATATATTTAGTATTCTTCTTATTGGGACATCATCCTGTATAAAATGGGGAAAACGAAACATACTGATGTGAAAGAATGAATTTAATAATCTTTACGGTCGATCTATAATTTAATGATCTCTGAGTTTGAATTTTGAAAAATCAGTGCACTAACTCAAAGTATCGAAACCAGTCTTTCTTAGGTTATATCTACATTTAGATTCTCCATTACTATCCTTTTTCATCAGTATTACCGTTACTGATGAACTAACATTATATGGAACGCTTTGTATGTAGAATGAAGCTTTACGAAGTATTTTTTTATTTGTAAATTAGAATTCTTACATAACATTTTATTCTGATTGGATATGAGAAATATATCTTTCTCGAGAAATGACGTGATACGATAAAAAACATCTGTAAGTATTTTAATAAATGTCTTAATGGTTCAATGAAAAAAACTGTTTGTTTATTATCATACACAGGAGGAGGAGGAGGAAGCTTTTCGTTAATGAGAAATAGAAATAAAAGCGGTACAACTTTCTTTATTTTAATTGTGATTATAGACAAGAAAATGAAAATTTTTTTTTCTGTTTATCTCTATCGATTTTAACTGTAATATAGACATCCGTTTTGCTACTTAAATCTGATAATGACCAAGACACTTGCCATATTTGATAAGATCATACATTATGTATACTTTAGTATGAGAGAGATATACAATCTATTTTAAAAATAAAAAATAAAAACTCAATCCGTCCCGATTGACTGTGTTATCAAACCGAGAAGACCTTGATAGCCATCAGTTGATGCTGTCATCATACAATGAGAAATAAGTCTCTATGGGTCTACGATCATCAGTCAATGGTGGCCATCATCAACATCATTATTATTATTATGGATTGATGAAAATCGAAATAACACACACGAGTTGTTAGTTTAATAATGATGATTGATTTCTATATGGTAAAAAAAAAAATTCTTATCTTTAAAATAAAGTCTACGATTATTGCTTGAATTAAATAAAATGGCACTCACAAGACCTAAACATAGATATTCAAGTATTTTCACGATTCATAGAGAAATAAAAATGACTTTATAATCTATCTGCAATAACGGATAAGATTACTTATTCTTTGTGGATAAATGTTGCTGTAAAAGAGCCTTAACTACGTTATTAACCAAACCAAAATAAAAGCAGTGCACATCATCATTGTTATTTTTACAATCTGATCTCTTCTCTTCTATATGAAAATAAAATAGTAGTAGACGTTCGACATTTACACAACATATAAACATATATACAAATAGGGAGAGAGAGAGAGAGAGAGAGAGAGAGAAAGAAATACATAAGTCAGTGCTTAGCAATGATATGCAGATGGTTGAAGACGTGCAAATTGTTACTCTTCTTGAATTACACATCTATATTCCTGTTAATTGTCGTTGGAATCAATTAATAAAAATAGAAAAGAAAAAAGAAAGTGCAAGAAAAATAAATATTTTTTCTATATGTACATATATACAGAGAGAAGATGTAGATTTATAAGATTCGTTAGGCATGCTACACAGAGGTTTTAACATACTTATTAGAAAGGGATTGGAATTATTGTATTTAAAGCTTCTCGCCTCCTATTAGAAATCTATCTCAGTAGCTGCAGTTCAAACACAGTTCGAACTTTCAAGAAATGTAAAGAAACTCTAGGTAATTTCATGAGATGTTACCATAACAGTAATAAAAAATCGGGTTGTTTTATTTCTTAATGTATATTTCTCCACTCAGATGCTAAAGAACTTGACTTAGTTTTAGTACATGTGTTTACAGATTGTTAGAACTCAGTTTTAGGTTTTCTGCTTTGTTGTTTTGTTGTTAGTAGGTAGGCATCACGAGTTGAAATCTCAATTTATGTTTTCCGTATATAAGTATAATCAACTCAATGAACTTTACCTGCTGGCTATATGAAATTTTAATTCGAAACTATTAGTGTATTTTACAAGAACCCAAAGTAGAGTAACATGCAAAAATCAGATTCTGTCAATTTCTAGTCACATTTTATTTAAAAGTAATTTAAAGACTTTTGAGTAAAACGAGCACATACTAAATAGTATAAGTAAAAAAGGCTTATTACACGACGATGAGGCTTTTCAAATACGTCTCATAACTTTTTGATCCAAATATGGTTCGTCACTGTTCAACATCTTATTTTGTCAAGTTCATTTTAGATCAGCTTTGTTTCTAGTATGGATTTCTAAGAGTGTAACACCTTCGTCCGTTGTAGAGAGAAAGAGAAAGACAGAGATGTTCATACTGTCATATTTAATATACATTATGAGATGAGCAACGGGTGTTTGTGATGCCTGGTATGATTTCTCAACTAAAGGTCAGACATGATGGACACATATCTCACACTTCTACGTGAAAAAACAATGACAATACCAACAATTTTGACTTAGAAAAGCAATCTATCATTACTATCATAAACATAATTTGATGTACATGACCGTTTTGACTTATTTCAAAAATGAAGGTGAGGGTGGAATATGAGTGTGCCATTTTAATTTTAATTGAGTATATATCTCAATTGAAAACATATTTTCTTCTCTTTCTTACATATACATACATACAGGGAAAAGAATTTGTATTATTTTCATGACAATGACTACTATTATAGCAGGAGAAAGGCTTTTTATGCCTCCACTGGGTGAAATAGTGAACACTAGTTGATTTATTATCATAAAAGAGAGACAAGTAACAAAAGGAATATTTACTAACCAAAAAGATATCTCTTTCATAGAAGAGAAAGAATTGAATGCTAAAAATAAATTTTTCTTTTTCAAGTTCTTGTTGTATAATTAAAATCTATATTCTCATTATCCAATAACAATCAACATCTGACAATAGTTTGATGTAATAATGTTTATTTTGTTGTTGTCCACAGATGGCTGGAGAATTTTCTTCATCATCATCACAGAACTTCTTCTCGTTTTCCACATCCTCATCGATAATATCAGCATCATTCGGGTGTTTATGTAATTTTTACTGTTGTTCATATTCGTTCATTGAAACCACTTTTGTGATCAATGTTTTTTCCACTGTTCTTACATGTTGTTCAATCACAGTCATTAACACCGATGTGTCCAACTGATTGTGATATTTTTTGTTTAGCTCTATAACGAATATATTATTTTGCGAAACATTTTTAATAAATGAAATGAATCTAAGCTATTTGCTGCAATGTAACGTTAGATCGTGAATAATTTAATTAACCACTAAAAATGAAAGTTTTCAACAAAAGTTTTGGCAACATACTCTTATGTATCTATTCTAAAATTTGTTCGATTTTAATGAAGAAATCCGTGTTAGTTTGATGTAACCAATGAGCTTAATCATAAGAATCGATATTATTAACATTGTTATTAGGCGAGACACTTATATAAGCATTGTATGAACAGCAGTAAACGAATGATTTGATGTCGTGTATATGAGCAATGTAGGTGTAGATGCTTGGACTAAATTGACTACCGATATAATGATTCACATAAATACTGAATAATGGAAGTCAACGGAATCGATGAATTATGAGCAATCGAACAGATGGCGTTTGTCGTTGGTTGTAACATACTGGTGAGAATATCGGAGAAATAAGTATGGATAACGGTTTGATAAAATTTTGCATAGATGTAAGTGATCAATGACTAATGATAATGTGCATGTTTTCACTGTAATAAATGATTACCTTTTATTTGCTGAGGAAATTATTGACCAAGATCCTAATGCCATATTCGTTAATAGATACATCATCGGGGTATTATCTAATTTGGTATATGTTTCTTGTTCTATTTTTATAGCTGATGATGAGAATAAGCGAAGATTAATATTTATTGTTAAAAATCATCGTTTGATTGATCACTTGTCATTTTTCGTTAATTAATTTAAATTGGAAAGAAACTTTTATCTGATGACTTTCGACAGTACTAGTAAACAAATATTTTAGATAATTTCAACAATTGTGAAACTTTTGGCGTATTGTCCTATATCACAGTACACCACAAAAGTAGGGGCAGCCCTGGAACTTGAGAACTATCATAACTAATGACTTCTAATTTACGTAGCCATATATTCCTCTGGATGCTAATCACCTAGCGAGTTTGAGTCTCTTTAATTAGATGATTCGGCAGATATAAGTAAGCATTTCATTTTTTTCAAAAGAATGCATATAACACCTGACCCGAGAGAGATGAAAATTTTTCTTTTTTACCAAAATGTGGTTCTTACTCTCTTCTACCTATGGTATAAATTTCGTTTGTTGGCCCTAATATCATTGAAATACTGTAGTTTCACGATCAACAGTCACTTTTAAGATATGAGGTTCATTCCGAAAAATTCATAACTCAGCCTAAGAATATTTTTTCCGCTTAAAATTGCGTCATTTACTCTACAATGTCTCGAGGTTATTTGCACAAAGTTTGAGGGGTTAACTATAGTATGATTCGAGAAATTCACTGAAAACGGGCCCTCGCTATTAAATCATACGCAGGAAGGCGCGGGTGAGAAATTAAGGATCGTCCTTTCTACCATATCTTCTGCGATTAATGTACATCATAAACATGCAAAAATATAATTAAAAAAACGTATAGTCACAGAACGCCAAGGTGAACCATTATCAAGAAGATGTCAGTCTCATTCCCCATATCCACCATGCGTTGGTGACTAAAGTGGAAAGTGGAAACTGGCTAAACTTTAGTTAGTTTCTAGTCAAGTTACTATGACTTTGAGTGAAAGTAACAATTACACTTGAAATTTTCATGTTTTGTAGAAAATGATTTCTACCTTAAGTGCATACTCTCTTGGAAGTTAAATCTTTCAATTTCTACAAAATTTCAAATCAAATATCTTTGTTTATCAGTTTAAAGGTACAAATTGTTGTTAATGAAAAGAAAAAGAGATGCCTGTTTTTAGTATTTTCAAAAGAGTGTCTTGGATTAACCACGGAATTACACTGCGGTAGCAGAGTTACCTAATTAAGCTGTTATACACTTAAAGTAGAAATCATTCTCTACAAGCATGAAAATTTCAAGTATCGGTGTTACTTTCACTAAGAGTCATAGTAAATCTACTAGACATTGGGTAAAACATGGTAGACAGCTAAGAAAAATATGAAAAATTCAATTCTGTACATTTTCCTCGAAATACGTTTTTTAAATAATCACTGAATAGAGATGCTAAGATTTAATCAGTCTATAACTCTGACAAACATCACATTGGCATTTGTTTCTATTCACACGTTTCATACTTGTCAGTGATATTTTAAATCGTTTATTTATATTGTCCATTAATTTCTTATCATCTTTTTTCATGTTAACAATGGTTCTAGTTCGTTTCAGATGCCGACAAATCATCTTTAGTCAACTCTCGTATGTTCAAAGGAGAAAATGAAACATAATGAGACATTTTTTTTTCTTTTTTTTATTAATTTCAACATGGTGATATATCTATTACTCTACATTATCATCATTATATAGATGAAGAAAAAGAAAAACGTAAATGATATTATGATCTAAATATTTACATGTTGATCAAATGAATAGTTTATTAACACAAGACGAGAATGTTTATGAACATTTATCTAAAAAACAAATAAACGTACTTGATCTTCATGTATGAGTATATATCGGACATACGTAGAGATAGAGAAAACACCTAAGGGGAATAATTCGATCGTATTGCATTCAACTATACCTTTGCTTACACTTGTGTACAGTATATTATGGCTATCTTATATTTCCAACCTTACTGTAGTATATAACCTTGGCAAATGTAACACTTTCACGCATTTTTCATTTTCTGAAGACATAAAGTAAATCAAAACTTGATTCTTGCGTCATGTTTTTAGTTTCACTTCGATCGAACTCCTAATAAAAAACTGAACTTTTGGATAATTTTCATCCAATTTTTTTTAAAAAGCATAATTCTGTGATGTTTTTGTCCTTTCAGTTCGAGTGTGAGATATTTTGTCTCATTTTACTGTAGATTTATAAATTGCCCTAGGAAATGTTTGCAGATAAGTTTATACATCCTAGATATAAAAGTTACTTTTTTCTAGAAAATATTTTAGTTTTATTAATGTAATGATGCTTTTTTTTTCACACAATTCTTTTTAAAGTTAAAAGGAACATTCTAATACGAATAGATCTGAATTACACCATACATTAGCATGGAATTACAACAAAATTATAAAATTATTTTATTACATTTGAAATGTAGTAGATCAAGAAAAATTGATTTACTCAATAAAACTTGTTTAAAATTGTTATTTCTTTACTGATCCATTTTAAAGAGAATTCAACTCGTTATTTCGTAATATATATAGAAGAATAAAAGTAGGTGAATAAATTTAAAATTCAGTTTTTATTAGTTTGGTGACTGTAAATTTGTGATCTCCGTTAGAGTAATATATGTATATACAATTACGTGATGAAAAAAATGGCTTAGAGATTTCGTTACGGTTTATGTAAAGATTGGTCTCTGGCCACTTTCATCATTTGACTTAAAAATTATTTTGTTTATACAATATCACTCAGTATGACCACCTAGTGTATTCACAGCAGCTGTACTGTTTTGTATGTCCTAGTGTGCATCAAAACGATTTATTTGTTTTTGTTTCACAGTCAATCAACAAATGAGATATAGACACTTCTGATCATTTTTGGACTTTCACTGATATATTTTCGAATTTTCTCTTGTTATGTTTTAGTATCATTGTTGTTGTTGTTGTGACGAACAAACAAAGCTGGTATGATAAAATCGCTTTTTCAAAGTGTCGTTAGACGCTACTAGAAGGACAATAGTTCGATCCTGTTCCTCTTGTCTTTGAAGATGGATTAAGTTTATTTTTTCTTTTATTTCAAAATATAATTACAAAAAATTTGTCTATTTCACCAGAGAAAAAAATATCTATAATTTATCACTATGTTTGACGTGGTTCCAATTTATTTGATAATTGATTAAGAATTCGTTGATTATCAATTACACTCAGCTCTCTAAAATATATTGTAAATTCAATATGATTTTTCTATCATATGATATGAATGAAAATATGTTGATCACTTACCGTATGTATTCTTGAATTTCTTGAGTATTTTTCATACCTTGTGGTAATTGTATTTCTAAATGGTAATATAGTGATGAAAGATGAACTAACTATTGTCATTTTAAAATTTTAAGATTGATGGTCGTTTCTTGATGATGCAGACCTGCACCCATTCATTAACTGAGACTTTTAAAGCATCTTTTCATATCGAAAAAAAGTTTAGAACTATTTTCTTAGCCAAGTTTTTCTAAAGAATCTTTGAAAAACGTTTTCATCAAAGTAAAATTTTAAATCACAATATGTTAAATTTGTTAACATATATATTGTAGATATTCTGAAGTGTCCTCTTTAAAATGAGAGTCAAACGACCCCTTACTATTGCGTCGTTTACACGTGTTAACGAGTTTCCTGATAGTCTCATGACTGCCGTGCCACCATGCAGAATAATTTCAATAATCTATGGAAATCTTGATCATCGACTACGTTACAGCTCGTGGTAATGTATGCTTCTTGAAGAAACTTCAAAAACTTACGAGTAACCTAAAACTCGTCAGTAGTAACCTACATTATTAATATGAAATCACACTTTGGCTATATGTTCGGAAAACTAAAAAATTGATAAGTCACTCAAATCCAGCCAAAAAAACTACTTCAAAATGTCACGATATACCCTATATTTTATCTATGTAATACCTTAAAGTTCAACAATAGTTTGCAAAATCAATGGAATGTATTTATTTAAAGTTTTATTTGAAAATCTTTCTTATAATGCGGGAAGAAGTTTTACTACTATCCGTTCATAAAAGAATGATTCCGACATTTTTTGAATAACTTTTTAACGGAAAGGGCTAGAACGATACGGTTTTCACTATTGGATAGGAGAGCTGATGGAAAATGAAACTATAAAAAAGTCAGGTCTTCACATGAGGCTTAACATAGTAAACCTTTCAAAACAAAGTCCGGAAGCTGTCCACTTTTAAAGAAAAAAGAGATTTTTAATTTTAAAATGTGGATCTTTGGTTCGAGAGTTACAGGCATTTTCCGAAGACCTATCAATCCTTCACATCCTGGCTTGGGAAAAAATTATGTTTGAGCTTCGGATCGATCGAAGGTTTTCCAGAGGTCTGCTAACAAATCTTAGAAATTATGTATTGTCTTAAGCACTTTTTCGACCTGATCTATAATTCATGTCTTGTTTTGACTATTTGCTGAAAATTACAGTTTGTTTGGATGAGAAATGACTGAGTTATGAATATTTTAATTTTACATGGACACCGAAGAAAAAGTTGATTTTGAAAAAAATTGGCTCAGTTGGACTTTCTGTTATCTAAGAAAGAAAATAAACATTGCCATGATGATCAGCTATCTCGATAACCTATAGTTCATCTCTTTTTATAGTTTCCAAGTCAAAGCTGTGAAGGATAGGTAGGTCTTCGGCAAATGCCTGTAACTCTCCAACTAAAAGAGATAGAGAGTCGCGCCTAGTACAGTTTTAAAGAGCACACTTCAGGGGATAGAATCTATATTTTCAAATTAAAAATTTCTTTTTTCCTTAAAGTGGACAGCTTCCGGACTTTGTTTTGAAAGGTTTACTATGATCAGCCTCATGTGAAGACCTGATTTTTTATAGCCTCATTTCCCATCAGATCTTCTATCCAATAGTCAAAATCGCATTGTTCTAGCCCTTTCCGTTAAAAAGTTATTCAGAAAATGTCGGGAATCATTCTTTTTATGAACGGATAGTAGTTTCAAGTATAGAATCAGATTGCGCATCTTTTGTCTATTACCTTTTGCTCTTGAGTTATTCAAAAAAAAAAATAGTCATCGGTGTTATAATTTTGAAAAGCATAATAAAAATTTTAATTTAAGTTTTACCTAATGGTTTACTACGGCAAACATTTAATGTTCTCATTGTATGTGCAAGCATTCGCTATTGAAAATAAATCATTGTTATTTTAATAGAAAATTTAATAATGTCTCTATCGTTACCATTTTTTCAAAGTTGACCAATCCTTCAAAATATGTTTTGTTACCTTCATGTGTAAATGTCATATCTGTTTAATGAAAACAACGAGGAAAAAGATTAATATTAAATAAGATGATAAAGATAGTATAAACTTACCTTTTAATAATAATGGCATAAATAGAATAATAGGCGGTGTTAATTTTGTTAAACTTGATCGATAGGTACGATGATTTCGAGACGGATCCATTAATGCTTCAAATTCTGAAAACATACGTTTTATTTTATTTGGTAATTTCTATGTATATAAAAAAATAAAAACAAATACAAATACAAAAAATAATTTTTTCTTCTTTCTATACGATAGTATAAAATAATTCTTACTTACTTCCCAGGTAAGTGATAATCGACTCACAGCAATATTACTTAGACCCATGACTACCGCAAAAAATGAATGTAAATTTCGATATTCTTTGCAACTAAAGGAGGAAAAGAAGTCGAACATAAAAATGTTTTTGTTTTTTTCTTCAAAGAATAATTTTAATTCTTACTAGGATGCCAATTTGATAAATTTTCTTAATAATTGAACGCGTTTTCCAAGACTAGTTGTCAAACAAACTTCGGTAACAATCCAATATTGTACTTCATTGAATCTTCTCATAAAAACATCGAGATTTGCCGTAATTTTACCATATTTATATCGACCAAACACTTGATAAATTAACTCATACTTCAAAAAAAATGTTAATCCAAAGTTAATTTGTTTACAGAAACGAAAAAAACAACAACAACAAATAATAAATTTTAATTTATTTACTTGATGAATAGCATTAAATAACTCATAATCGTAAAGTGTCATGACATATGCTAATTCTTTTGAACTAAACATTTCTAATTTTTGCCATGTACCACGTGATGGACCTTCTTGTTCGGGTAATGGTACAAGAGCGTCCAAATGATCACTGGGAGCCAAAAATAATCGTCCATTTAAACTGAGACCATGTGATATACTCAAATCACTTTCTTTAAATACTATACGCTCTTTAAATAAATAAATAAATATAAAAATTTTAAATATTATTACAAAATAAGATTTTCAAAAATTTTCTTCGAACTAACCTCCAGTTGATTTTACTTCACACAATTTAAGATCATCTGGCAAATCGGATCTTAGACCAAGTTTATCAGCTGCTAATCGAACAATTTTTGATGCCAATGTATCAACAGTCATTTTCAATGTTGTATAAGTGTGATCAGCACAATATACTTTAAATATAACTAAAAATAAAATTTATTATGTTATTTTAATATGAGATCTCATTATTATTTATATTTCATACCTTCATCTGAACCACGAATCATCTTTAATTTATCAATACTACTTCGTTGTTTCCAAGATAGTTTTGTTCGTTTTGATTCACGATTATCTCTTTAAAATAAACATCTTAATTATGAATATTTTGTAGAGAAAAACAATAACAACAATAACAACAAGACTTACGGATCATTTTCCATTATGGCTTCAATCGATTTCAATTCATCTCTTAATTGTGGATAAATTTTAGCATCAATTCTTATAACACGATGAAGTTCCTAAAAATGTATCCTTTGTTATTTAGAATATATGTATACTTCTTCTTTTTTCTTTTTTAAAGTAAAAACATATACTTCAAGAAATGTATTAATTTTTGTATCTTCATAAAATGCTTCACCAGCAATATTATGCCATTCTAATACGAATCGTATTACTTTGACTTTTTCATGTAATGATAAATCCATACGTTCACCGGATCGTTGATGAGGTTTTGCTTTAAAAATTGTTAACAATGTTGCACATAATTGATTAACAGGCATAAAGACGATATGAGTAAAAAGAAAATCATCTAAAAATGTATCTAAAAATAATATTTAAAATTAGAGAAAATTATTGATGACTAATGAAAAAATATATACACTTACCACCTTCTTCACAATTAACACATATACGAGTTTCTAATAAATATTCAAGCATTTTTTCGGCACTACCAGCCATTACTGAATATCTAAATGTTTTAGATTATACAGATTTTTTTTCTCTTGTTTTTTCTTTTTTAAGATTTGTTAAATACATACTTGTAACAGACTTGATAGTTTCCATCAATTGTTTTCATATTAATAGGAATCTTTTCTAAAACTAAAACATCTTTTCCATGTTCTTTAAGTCGAATAGTATTTGCTTCAACATCACGAAGTATTCGATTAAAATCATCTTTGTCTACTCGCAAAAAATGACAATTATCTTCATTTAATACGATTGTGGCTGTCCTATAAAATATTTAAAATAATTATTTAAAAAAAATATTTAATAATTAAATAAATTACCTTGGTGAATTATTAACAAGTGATAATTTACCAAAATCATCACCTTCATGTAGTGTACAAACAACGCCTTTACCATAAATGACAACATTAACAGAACCTTTCAATATAATATACCATGATTTTCCTTCATCTCCTTGACTAAATAAAACTTCCGATTGAAATGGATGAGCTTCAAATACAAGTACACCGGCTAGTTCTCGTTTAACAAGTGATGATAAATGTGAAAGTGCTTTAACATGAATTAATTCATCATAAATTATTTCAAGATCATCAACAGTTCGTTCATGTGGTCTAAAAAAAGATTAATTTATTGAATAATTTTAAAAATATTATAAATAATAAATCAAAAGAGATACGAACGGTTTACGTAAAATCATTCTTAACATTGCATCTGGTGCCACTTGAGTTAATATCATAATAACTTCATGCAATTGCTCTTCACATTCTGGATTATCGACATTAATTGATTGACTATCAATACCATCCTCATCACCCGAAAAACGATAAAATAAGTATTTATCTTTAAAATAGTGTTCTTGAGAAACTAAATATTATATAAAATAATAGAATTGATATATTATATAAAAACATCATTTTATTTTTAAAAATACACACCATGTTGTATAGCCGATTCTTCTAATAATGCTTGCCACATTCCGACTGCTTGACTTCTTGAATGTACAATGGGACTTTGATGAATGAGCCAATCAACCATTTCTGAACCCACTAAACAACTTCGATGCATTTTTAAATGATATTTTCGATCTCGAATCATTTGCTGAGATTTTGATAATATACATGTTCGTAAAACATAGGCAGCATGTTGAATTCTTACTGATGGACTCTATAAAACATTAATATTTGACTTGAACATATTATAAACATATTATTGATTGATAATGAAAATGAATAAATTCTTATTTTAAAGTTCTTACTTTTGATCTGATAAATAGATTTCATTTCATTATTCATTTTATTTTATTACATTTTACCAATATTGGCTAGAGATCTGTATTTAATAGATTTGTCTGTCCATAGATCAATATAATAAATGTTTTTAAACTTTTTAAAAATGAAATAAAATAAGTTTAACGAATTTTTATATCACAATTATTCTACATTTTCAAATATTCTATTCTACTTTTTAGAAAAAAAATGACATATGGATAAGATGACAAGTTTACCCATGAGCAGAAAAAAGTTATCCCTGAAAATTTTGATTATTAATAGATTTTTAATTAAAATTTTTACTTACTGGAACTATTGGTAGAGCTGGATTTCGACCTGAATGAAAAGAAAAGAAAAGAAAAAAGAAAGATTTTATTACTATATCAAATTCTTATATTTATTTTGTACTTGGATCATCTCTGAAAAATTTTGAACTTCCCACTTGTGGTAGTAATGATGGATCAAATTCACTTGCTCGCCGTTTTGGATCTAAAGTATTTGTTAATCTAGATAATGATGTTATAACACCATGCATATACTGTTTATTTCTTTCCCATAATATTTTAAAATCTTTTTGTTCTACACGTAATAATTCACAAAAGGCTGTTGTAATAACAGTAGCATTTCTTGGCATATCATAGAGAATTGATTCACCAAAAGCAGCTCCTGATCCCAATGTACATATAAGCGTATGTCCCTATAATTGATACATATAATTAAAATAATTATTTTAATATTATGGATGAATACTTACTTTACCATTTTCACTTGGTACAACAACGTCAACATAACCGGCTAAAATAGCAAACCAATTTGAACCATAATCACCTGTTCGAAATACTTTTTAAAAAGAGAAAAAAAAAACAATAAAGTGTATAACAAATTATTTAACATTTAATTAAAACATACATGTAACACCTTTTTCGAGATTTTCATAATAGCTATAATAACACAATTGTTGAATGAGTAATGGATGAAATTTTTCAAATGCTTTAACATCTTTTAATTTAGAAAATATTTTATCAAGATCTTCACCAGTACGATCGGTTGGTCTAAGATCAAATAAAATATCAATAAATTTTTCAATAAAAAAAGCAAAAAAAAAACAAACAAAAAAATCATTTAAAATATCACTGAACCATTGTTCGTTTATTTCAGTTAATTAAAAAAACTCACCTCTTATCAAGACTCTCGATCCAGTCTAATATCGGTGATGAAACATGAACAGTTTGAGATTTTTCACTAGGTGATGATGGTAGTTTCATTTCTACTCCACATAACAAATTCACATACTTCTCTTTTTTTTATCTAAAAAAACGTTCATAAATGTATTAAACAAAAAAACAAAAAAAAAAAACTATATATGAAGTATGTCTTCACTTTGAAACATGTAATTAGGATTTTTTTCACATTTGAAAAAAGCGTTCTTCTTTCTCTTTACGTTCACAAGAAAGAGTCAAGTGTTAGACAAGTTATATCCATGAAAAGATATAAATATACTAGATGTCAAATGAAGTCGTGTCAAATTCTCATTATTTAATAATTTATATTTGAGTTTTAGTTAACTAACTATGTTGTTAAACTAAAATCTTTTTCTTATCATAGATTTTTACTTCAGTATCATTCATTTTTAGTTTATTCTCACCTTTAACTGAATAAGATTGAACGTGTTTAGAATAAATAATTTTTTTTAAAAACTAAATAGAGTTAGAATATATATATATATATGCTTACATATTGACAACTGGATAATTTTGTTAAAATCTAATACATCTCTAATAGAAGAAAAGAAGAAATCTATTACACAGTTTATGTATCTATCATAGATATCATGACTCTTTCAAATATAATAATAAGAAAAAAAAATTTATTATCTTGAATAAAACATGACATATCTTAGTAGATGAACATCCTCTAGCTTTAAGCGTTTTATATTTTTCTTCTTTTTCTCTTCTATTTTTTTTTTTTTCTTCTTCGTAGTATAAAGATAAATTTTTTGCAGAAAGATATATATTTACAGTTAAAGCGTCTCTAATAATAACTCAGAAAACACTTAGTTTGGTTCTCAAACTTTCTCTCTCTCATTTCCTTCCTTTAAAACTATCTAATCTATTTTTGTTACGTCTTATAACGCTAAATTTATTTTCTTAAAAATAGTGAACAAGTTCCAATTAAACAGATAATTGTTCATCTTTCAATGTCAAATATTTGAAAAAAATTTGTTTATCTTGCAAAATTAGAGTTTAACAGTGAAGTTGATTTATTTTTTTCAATTCATCTTTAAAAATCAAATTCGTATGTTCGATTCTTAGTTTTATTTAATACAAGGATTGAAGATTTTATGTTTTGATAGTTTAAGTTTCAAAATAATATAATAAAATATTTATATTCTCAATTTTATTGTCAGATTCTTATGATTAATGTTTAAACCAATTATACTTATAGAAATTTTAGTTTTTTAATTTCTATTGAAATATGCCTTAAAGCTCTTAATTGTCAATGTATTTTCTTTTATTAATATTAGCAGAAACTAAAGTTATTTTCTTATATTATATTTCTAAATAAATGTAAAAAATCTCTAATGAAAATAGGAGTGGAAAGGAGTAAATTATCCACGGATTTTTTCTTCTCTATATCTAAAACGACGATGACAACAAAATTAGAGTTTCTTTCACTGAACTCCTTAAGCGCAAAAAAACAAAAAAAAACAAGATAAAAAAAACACGTTCATATTATCAAATAACTATCCAAACATTTTCTATTTTCAATTCTATAATGTCATCCAAAACGTTGAAAAAGCATCGAGAATTGTCCAGTGATTCATTAACCGATGTATTTCGATGCAGATAAATGTTTTTCTCTCAATAAAATCAAATAACATTGACCATAAATTGACATTTTCACAGGATTAAAGTTGGTGCATGTAAATGTATTAAGCTATATATCAAGCAATGGAACTCTATGCTTCACCTAGAGTATGCATCTAGATAAAATAGTAAACAATATAGACTAATATACCAGTTAAAGCATCTAGATATTTCATGTAAGTCACTTTAGCTTGGACAATTATTTTCAGTATATGCGAGGTCAATACAACCTGAATATATTCACACTGTATCTTATGGAAAATCATCTAGCTCAACAAAATGAATAAAAAAAATAACTTTTTGCCAGTTATGTATGTAAATTAAAATCTTTATTTTTATTTTCACGCTAAAACAAGTTCATAAATCTTTGATATTATGACATTCTCTATTCTCTCTTTTTTTCTTTTTGAAGTAAAAGAATTAATGCTATACAAGGCAAGTGCAATTATCTGTCATTGCAATTATTATTAAAGCGCAAAAGTGTGATTCTCTGTGTCGCTCAATCATTGAACTTACCTGTTTAGAATAATATCTAACCAGTAAAGGAAAAAAGAAGGAAAATTCACTTATATATCATTTTAAAATGTATAGAGAGAATTGTTTTGTATCGGAAGGAAATAACAGTGTGTGGAAAGATTTTTAAAAGAATAAAGAGAGAAGAAAACTTCCATAAAGCATACTGCTTAACTGAGCATAGATCTATAATAAGATATTCGGTTGAATAATAGAAATCTTCTTTTTTATACGTAATTTTCATTGAAAATTATCATTAAAAACAACATTTTTTTTCTCGTCAAATCAAAGACAATACTTTTAAGTTATGATTTGCAATTTCGATTCTGTTCTATTTATAGATGATATATTCAGTTTAATGGCTCATCTAATAGTGAAGTTTCCTTTAGTCGTAATATTCTAAAACTTTTTTTTAACAAGCAATTTCTTCTTTTTGTTGTCAAAGAGTGATGTATCAATTATTTTCCTCTTGGAAATAGACCAAAAGAATGTTACTACATTTTGAATATCCAAACAATTGACTTAAACTGTGTAATTTACAACATATCTGACATTCTGACTACCATTTTGTGTAACTCCTTAATTTACCAATTTCGAGAGGAGCTTCACTATATACTCAAATCCTTAGTAATTTCGCTAATTTGTTAATTTCCCTCAAAAATGGCATTATAGAACGTGCAACAATGGCGCTATAAAACACTGTAAATTGTATTATATACAGTGTTAAGAATTGTTCGCGAGAACTACAAAATTTCGTAAATATTTAAATTTTTACATTATAGAACATCTTGAATCCTGTTGTTGTGTATTACCGAATCTATTACAGTTGAGTGAAGATTGGAATATGTTGTGTTTGATCGGAATATAATATACGAACGGTTAAGACACGTGCCGATTTGGATCTTTTCTGTCAAGACTCGTTTTTATCAATTATATATGGAAGGAAGAAAGATGATGATAGATAAATAATTTTTATTCAAAAACATATCTTAGCCTCAACAGAGATTTAACGACTTTTTATTCAAAAACGCTTTAACTCTCTTTTGGTTTTCAAATGCTTGTTTGTATAAGTACTTGTTCAATTGCATATAAGTTAATGTTGGATGCGTTTCACTTTATTTAAAAATAAAGCTCATCAGCAATAAATATCTCTTAATATGTGTATACATTATAAGTCTGAGAGAGTTAAAGAGTTTTTAAATAAAAGTCTTTAAATCTCTGTTGAGACTAAGATATGTTTTTAAATAAAAGTTATTTATCTATCATCATCTTTCTTCCTTCCATATATAATTGATGAAAACGGGCCTAGATAGAATAAATCTGAATAGGTACGTGTCTTAACCGTTCTTATATTATATTCCGATCAAAATATTTTAATGGAATGTTTGCGACTATTCCATTAAATATACATTTGGTATGTGCTTTTTATTTAATATACCAGCGTGCAACATTTTTTTCCCTTTAAGTAAAGATAAAACTCATAAAATAATAAGCGCACCACTGTCTTTGTCATCGGAGGAGCTCCGCTGACAAATTTTTTGAAAGTAGCTAAAGGGGAGAAGTATTCGCGTTCCTTTTTACATATTGCTGTTGACCGATAATTCTCATCTATCCTTTTTTAGCTTAACTTATTTCATCGTGAGATTTTGATTTTGTCGTTAATATGTACAAATACAGAGCTAATTTTTGATGGTAGACAATGATACTACAGCGAATTAGGGACATCCCTATTCCAATTGAAAAGTAACAAATTCATACTCATTCGGTTTTTCTGGATGTGTGTCCAGTTCTTATTGTACGGTTTTCGTGGAGCTACACCATATTTGCTATTATTAGTCTAAGTTCAATACCAGTACCAGTTCTTTTGGTGCAAGTGTCGATTGGGCACGATAACCCTGTACCTTGTCCTTATGTCCAGAACAGTTCACGTTGGTAAAAGGTAACAACGAAAAATTATCAACTTTGTTTTATGCATACGAAGAAAAAAAATACATTTAATTTATTTATGAACTTTATATTATTTTATAACAGAGAACCCCATTCGTTCGCTATTGAGTCCCTGAAACAGTAGGCCCACTCTTTCATTCTCAAGTGCGAAAACTGCTAATTGAAGTTTTTATGGAAGGAAGGAAGCTTGAGTTCGTAAAAAGATCTAGGGTGAGTTCGTAAAATATCTAGGGATTATTTGCACAGATAAACTCTAATTGAGCCCAACGATGAATAAATACTTACAAAGTATTCAACAGTCGTATGTCAGATTGCGAGTATACGATTTACTGTCCGCGGATTTACTGTCCATGGATCTACTGTCCGTTGATTAATTTCCATTTTAATTAGTTTTTTTTCATAGAAAAGTATAATTTTTGCTATAGAGGATTTACCGTAACGTCTCAGCTGAGATACAAATTATATTCTGACTGAGATATAATTCATATTTTAATCAAATATCTTAGTTGCGAAATCATTATTTCTGCGAAAATATTCGTTTCTCAACTGAGACTGACACTTTTGACACGTGCGCTGAAACGTGCCATTGTGCAAGAGTGCAGTGTATAAAGGTCTATTATTCAATAGTTCTACAAAATCTACAAGAATTACAGCGACTTTCACGCCATTTTCCATACTTAGACGTTTTTCACAAACCGGACTTACTTTCCGTTGATTACATAGAAATATATCCTAATTAGCTAGTTTCTTATATAGTGCTTTAGTTTTCACTGATTATTTGGACGAAAAGCAATGAATGAGTAAATGAGTATTCATTGCGACGCCCAATGTATTATGAGAAAAGAATATGTTATTGGTGTTTATTAGTGGAAACGAAAAAAGATGGTTTTATAACTTTTTGATGGACGTTGAAAATATCTCATACCGGCAGTTTTCAAGAACGCTGGAATGTCAATACGACAGTCATCATAACGTTGCCATAATTTCATTAGACATTCATCTGTTATAACTTTATTTTTTCGACGTTTTGGAGCCGAAGCTCCCATACCATCTTGTACTCTTGCAATCGATGCGAGTGATTGTTCCTTGTAATTGTAATTTCACTATATAAGAAACTGGCTAATTGGGATATATTTCTATGTAATCAACGGAAAGTAAATCCTCAGCTACATCCCAACTGAGATACTTTTTTTTGCAGATCCACACTCATTTGATGTTGTCTGATTTTACAAAGCCAATTAGGACGAATTTGTATTTCACAAGAGAAGGCTACCAACTGTCCCAGCGCTTTTCGCCTAAATAGTGGACAATAGGTAATCGAGTGTGCTGAATCCGAATATCACAATGGGTTTTCTTCAAAGGTTTCTGGAGACTCCAGTTTTTGGAAAACCAGTTTTTCAGACACTCTACAAAATAACCAAAACATTTCTTAATAGGGCCTGATTGTAGCCTGTACATTTTTTTTATTAAAATGAGTTTTTTCGTATTTCTGTAGCTTTGCGCTGACAATGAACATTTAGGGCTTTTCTCGTAAGTTCTATAACTTTGTAAAGAACGGTCGTGTAGGGCTGGGAGCTGTCTCATTTTAATAAAAAAACGCACAGGCTACAATCAGATCCTATTAAGAAAGGTTTTGGTTATAGTTTAGAGTTTCTGAAAAACTGGAGTTTCCAGAAACCTTTGGGAAAATCCATTGTGATATTGGGATTCAGCACACTCGGTTACCTATTGTCCACTAAGTTTTAGGCGAAAAGCACTGGACAGTTGCTAGCCTTTCCTCGTCAGTTAGGAAGCTTAGAAATCCTCTATAGCAAAAATTATACTTTTATATGAAAAAAAAACTAATTAAGGTAGAAATTAATCAACGGACAGTAAATCGTGTAAACCGCCAGATTGAAGTGGCTGAAACGTAATAAAGATGGTTCAACTAAAGGTGCTGCGTCGATTCTTTTTAACGTGTTTGTTTCCGTTTTACATCTTAGTTTTACCTTTTTTTTCCATTACCACCTCCATCTCAACAGGAATCATTTCATCGAAAATTTAGGATGGGGACTCACATTGTACATTGTTGTCCCTATATCTCCGCTAGTATTTTGGTTTGACTACATAAATGAAAAGAATCTGAATTCTTAATGTTTCTATTTATTATGCGTCGCTTTGATTCGTTGTATGTAACTGATTTATGTAAATCCCAATTTTTTTAACAATTTTATTTTTTTATTAGAAAGCTTTCAAATATCACAAAAAGCTACATATCGGCCATTTCTTCAGACTACGAAGAGTTAGAAAACAAATTGAAAGATATCAGTTCTCCTTATTAAAATGGTTTGAGTTTTTGAATTTGTTTTCCCTAAAAGATCTGATAGAGTATCGTGGTGGGAAAAGAGACACTGTTTCAATTTTTTGTCGTACTTTTATTAGTTCTCAGTCATTTTTGGTCGGAAAAACTTGCTATTGAACATGATGGTAGAGCGAACATTTTTCTACACATTGATGTAAAAATCTTCTAGAAATCTCTG